CTTCCTAACCTAAACAACCATCAAGCTGCTTTCCTCACAATGACAGTCACTCCCTCATAGGGCCTCTGGAACCTGCTGTTAAAATATCTTCCTCCCTTCCAGTACATATTATGATTATAAATGTGAATGATAAATGATTGGCACTTTACTTATCTTTATTAACTCCCCCGACTGGCTTTTTCTAAGTAAAGCCATATCCCTTGGCTAACGGTGGTAAGAGATGTCTTAATTAACCCTGATTCCCTGCAGTGGAAAATATGAGCTGTGAAATAGTAGCATCATCGTGCCACCTAATCATACTTTTATCAGGAGAGGGGAGAGAATATCTTATAATTAGGCTAGGACATCTCTGTTGAAAAGTTAGATTTTATAATTAAAGTGTAAGCAGAAACACAATTTATGATGTTGCAAGTTTTTCTTCTCTGAGGGAATTAAGCCTATCAGCTTGTCCATTTTAAATATGAATATAGAGTTGGGTTGTGATTATACCTGTTTGTAATCCCAGTACTTGAGGATAGAAGCAGCAGGATGAAGAGTTCAAGGACAACAGCTAAGCAGTGAGTTCAAGGCCAGCCTATTTAAAACGAACAAAAATAAATAAATAAACCAAGTAATTGGCTTAGCATGGTGACTAGTTAGTAATCAATACCCAGTACATGATCGCAGGATTTTAACAATAATTGCTATTGTCTTCATATTAGTTGTCTTAGTTGCTTTTCTACTGCTGTGACGAAACATTATGACCAAAAGCAACTTGGGGAGGAGAGGGTTTATTTACTCTTCTTTTTTTTAACCTTGAAACAAGCTTGTTTTACATGTCAACCCCAGTTCCCTCTCCCTCTCCTCCTCCTCTGCCCCCCATGGACCCCTATCCCATCCTCTTTCTGCTCCCCAGGCTGGCCTCAAACTCATATAGATCCCCTTGCCTTTGCCTGCCAAGTGCTAAGATTAAAGGTGTACGCCACCACTGCTTCCAACCTACTTTCTTACAGAATCCAGGACCACCAGTTCAGGGGTGGCACTACCCACAGTGAACTAACTGGGTCCTCCTCCATCAATCACTTAATTCAGAAAATGCTCTAGAGGCTTGCCTGTACAGTCCTGCTTTATGGAGGCGTTTTCTCAAGTGAAGTTCCCTCCTCTAGATGACTTAGTCTTGTGTTAAGTTGACATAGAACTAGCCAGGACAGTAGTTAGTCATTTGTTAATTACCACTATTTAGCTTTAATTTATTTTAAACTATACTCTATATAACAATACTTTATTTTTAGAAATATAGTGAGGTCTCAGCCTTGGAAGATACTATATAATGAAGGTTGGCCTTGAACTTACTGGATAACAAGTATACACCACCATGACCAGTTTAATCAGTACTGGGATAGAAGCCAAGGCTTTATACATGTTAGGCAAGCACTCTACCACTATGCTACCACAACTAATAAAAGGAAAACTTGAATATATTCCCACTAATCTATTTGTCAGCTTCCCTCCAGTGTGTTCCTCCACTCTCCTTCCAGCTCTTCTCAGACATTCTGCCATTGCTTGTCACAGTGAAAAGTCAGTGCTTGCATTTGTGGACAGAGTCTCATCCTTATATAGACCCACAGACATTGCACCTGTTTCTGCCTCTCATGTTCTTTGCAATCACATTTTATCCTTTGTATTAGATCAGCAATCATTGAAGGTAATATGTCAGAAAAACCCCCTTCAGCCAGGTGTGGCACAAGCTTGTAGTCTCAGCTTCCCTAGAGGCAGGAGGAGAAGTTGGGATAGTTTTTGTACTTCTGCTTGGTTGAAACCTCCCTTTCCAGATTTCTGATAACTGCCCCATTGCCAAATACAGTAGGTATTTGAACTGCAAATGAGTATTTGGACAGATTGGGTCAACCTTAATAAAATCATCTTTTCCTGGTTTTCTTTCCAAACCACTAGCTACTTTCTATAATTAATTCAGAGGAAATGTCAAACATTTTCATTGCTTTATCATCTTTATAGTGGTGGTTCCTAAATTGTGTCTGAAGTTTGAATCTTCTCTGAACTTCAGACTTATATAGTCTATTGTCTGGTCTATATCTTTAGATTTATTTGTTTATTATTTGTGTGTGTGTGTGTGTGTGTGTGTGTGTGTGTGTGTGTGTGTGTGTGTGTAGTTACAGGCAGTTGGTAGCTGCACAATCTTGGCACAAGGACCCAAACCCAGGCTCTCATCAAAAGCCCTATGTGCTCTTAACTGCTGAGCCATCTCTCCAGCTCCCTATTTATTCTGTGTCTTTGGATATGTCCAATTTGTGTCCAAGCTTAACACATTTTATCTTCTCTCTGATTTTACATATCTATAAATAGTTCTATGTAGTTTTCTAGTCATACCAAGATATGGAAGTCTCTGCTGACTGCTTTCTCTTTTATACATCAAAACCATTACATTAGAAAATCCTGTCCATTCAATGTGGGATCAGATTCAGAGAACTGACAGTTTCTCACTACCCTCTGAATGGTTAGGACGGCCCGAGACTATCCATCCTCTTGTCTAATGACTTTAATGACTTCTTCACTAATCTTCCCATTTCACAGTTACAACAGCAATCAATGACCCTCAGAAAACATTCAGGGCAGGGGTATACCTCATTGTAGAGCGCTTGCTTAGGATGCCCAAGGCCCTGATCTAAATCCCCAATACTAGAAAAAAGTTTCTCTAGTAGTTTCCATCACATTTTCGATAAAGTCTAAAAATCCTTAATATGGTTTAGATCCTAGCAACTGTTGTGATTTCATCTCCTACCACCTTCCTCATCTAGTCCAGACACGGTAGCCTCTTCTCTAGTCTTTGGGAACATCAAACATGGCCCTGTCTTCATATTTGTTCTCTGAATGGAATGTTCTTTGTGTGGGTTGTTCTCCATTTCATTGTTTCCCGCTCAGAAAAAAAAATCCTGACTGTGTCTTGCCTTTCTCCATTCATTCTTCTTATTATTGGCTTTTCTTTTATGGTTCTTGTTTCTACTTGACATTTTCTATTGCTTTCTTCACTTCTAGAAAGTGTTGTATATCTTACTGAGGCTAGGCACACCTATATGAACACATCTTATTTCTGTGTCACTGAAGACTGAGATAGGTTTAGGTAGGAATTTTATACTTTATAGTTATTTCCCATTTCCCTCTTTGTTTTTGCTTGTTTCTTTTTTCTTTTTTTTGGTCTGGAGTCATTTCCACTTAATAAGAACAGATGCCTTTTAAAGGTAAGATTAACACATGAGGTAGTTTAAAGCAAGCAATCCAGTGGTGTTTAGTGAGCTCACAATGATGGGCAGTCTCTTCTCCCATCCAGACCCAGAGCATCTTCCGTACTCTCAGAGAGAAACTGATGTTTACTAGGAAGGTTTTTCATTTTGTTTTTAACATTTCTGCTTTTCTCTTGTTCTGCAAATCTGTCTTTGGCCTCTGTGAATTTGCCTAACCAGAATATTTCATGTAAATGAAGTCATGCAACATGGGACCTTTGTGTCTGGTTTGTCCCATGTCTAGCATAGTGCTTATGAAGGGTTACCCACGTCATAGTCACCTTTGTGCACTAAACTATCTCTCCACTGCCACCACCTCCTGTTGTTTTGTTTTGTTTTTTGTTTTGAGACAGAGTTTCTCTGTGTAGCCCTTGCTGGTTTTGAGCTCACTATGTACACCAGGCTGGCCTTGAATTCAGAGACCTGCCTGTCTCCACCTCCTAGGTGCTGCGATTAAAGGTGTGCAATTATGACCAACTCCAAGTTTCATCTTATTTTAAATCTCAGTTACTAAAAAAAAGGGTTACTGCTGTTTTTCAGTCTGTTTTCTCATGAGAGATCTATAGTTCCTTTAATAGTTTCTAGAATACACATATAGACTAAGCTTACCTCAAACTTGTGGCAGGCTCTTGCCTCTGCCTCTCAGGTGGTAAGATTACAGGGGCCCCCCCATCATATCTCAAAATCTTATTTTAATATTTTTCATTACCATATGCCTTGTTCTTGTCCTGATATGAAGCTGAAGTGTTTAGAAAATGATCATAATTGTTACTCCTAAATCTTTTGGCCAGCTTTCAAAAATCCTGTGCCTTAGTTGCACTCCATACCAATTAAATGAAAATATCTGGAGGAGGGAGCCCCAGGAATTGGTTTTTTGAAGGCTGCCAAATGATTCCAGTGTGTAACAAGGTGGAAACCACTGGCTTTCCTTACTATCCATATAATAGCTTAGTTGCTCCCAGTTATCAACTTACTTGTTAGGTTAAGTGAATGGCTTATAGTAATGTATTTATCCAATTGAAAAATGCCCATATGTTACATAAATGTATTACAGTTGTCACTGTAAAAAAATTCTGAACTCATATTTGAGCTGACAACTTTTAAACTTTCTACTCCTGATGAGTCACTTTGCTTTTTGATCGCTGTCAGGGTATCCTTTTTCCTTACAGGTCAGTGATGTTGTGTGTTTGTGTGTGTGAACATGTGCAGGAGTTCAGTTGTGTTAGTAAACAACTCACCTTCCTGTCCTTGCAACATAAAGGAAATGAAGTTTTGTTTGTGTGTGTAGATTCCATCTTAATTCCTTTTCACACTTTTTCTTTTATGTTTTATTTGCTTGCTTGCTTGTTTGTTTTGAGACAGGATCCCAATGTAGCCTAGGCTACATGAGCTATGAGCTCTATGTAGCCAAGGCTGGCTTTGAGTTCCCAACACTTCTGCCTGTGCTGAGGTTACAGGCATATGCCACCACATGGCTATCCCTTTTCAATGTGTAATAAAAGGCAGTGTTTTAAACTTTATTGATCTGCTTGGATTCGTGTCTGACTCCATGAGTGTTCTTTAAAGGGTAAACAAAATGTCCTAAAATCGGGGTTTGGTGAAGAAGTGTAATTTATGGCCACCACACAGATTATCTATAGACAACTTGTCCTTGTGTGAAGACTTCTGTAGAAATCTGTCCCCTGGGAGGCTGAGAGTGAGTAAACAATCCTTTCTTTTTAGATCTTCATCTGCTGGTGGACGTGGCCTGCAAGCAGGAGCATTTTCCAAAGGAGGAAGAATTAAAAGAGTGAGGAGTGGATGACAAATGTGACATTGTGCACCAGCCGTAGCTGGAGGCAGACTAGTCTTGCACATGACACACTGTTGGGATTTTTTCAGTTCTGTTAAGGAAAAAAAGTATTTTTTGTTTTGTTGAGATTTTGTTAAATTGAAAATTGGGAGTTTGGTGTTTACTACAGCTGTTCAGTTCAGATTACTTACCTTGACAAACTGTTTAAACATCTAGCGGCTTTTTTTTTTTTTTTTTTTTGCTGCCCAGATTCCTTTCAAATGAAAAGTCCTGGCCTTCAAGAAGCATCTAAAATCTGCTGTGTGGATGGCACTGGAGCGGTGTGTGTGCTGATTTAGGATGCCATTTTGAACTGTAGTCAGCACAATGTCGTCTGTCTCAAGTCACAGTGTGATCCTTTAGGGAAGATGGTGTCATAAACAAAGACATGTGAGGTCACCAATATCACAAGTCCAAGCGGGTCAGGAACTCCAGGGAGGAAGTTCTGGAAAAGTGTCATGTTCTAAGCGGTTAATGAAGAACTTCTCTTGTTTCTGAACCCCATGTCCTGTTTCAGGAGCAAGGCACCGGACTTGGCGTGTCCATCACACTGACAGCCTCTTGTTCTTTAATATTCATGGGAGCGTTTTTTCCATTTTCATGTCTTTCCTTAATTTGAATGATAAATTATCATAAATAGTAAGAAAATTTTGTTAATATCACTTACATAAATGTCTTCTAAAGAAAAATATTTAATTTGTTAATTATATTTATAAATGCTGATAGATTTAAAAATTTTAAAGCTTTGTATTTTTTATTAACATTGCAGAATAGAAGGATTAAAGGGTACATGTGTAATTTTGTTTTTGAAGGGTAAATGTACAATATGTGAACAAAAACACTGAGGTTTAACACAGTGTTTTCATGTTTTAGATTTTTACATTCAGCAATTATAAATTCTTATCTATAGAAGGTATTGTGTGCAAATTTGGGGGGAAATTGTTTCATTGTCATTTACCAGAAACTATGCTTTAATTTTTAAGAAGCAGTTTATATTTGAAATATTAAATGGCTTAAGTTTCTGAGACTTTTGGATAGTGGGATAGACTGTCACCATTTTTTTCTTCCCCCCTGTAGGACCATACATTTGAGTAGTAGGATTGTGGGACTGTTTTAAAGGAGAGGAGGGACATTTTGGATGTCCAGTTTCTGTAGTTGATCCATGTCTACCAAATGACAGCAAGAACTTTTCTGATTTGAGGTATTTTGACTAGAACTTTGTTGTCGGATCTGCCTCAGTTTTCCCAATAAGCTGCAGAAACAAAAGGAAAGCCTGTGAATTTAAAGCTAATGAACAAGAAGCAGCGCTTAATAGTGGCATAGGCACTGTGTTTGCCATTGTGGGTTTGCAGTCCATTTCTTGCTTTGCACTGTGCCTTTGCAATGTTATCAGACCTGGATGCATTACAGAGCTCTAGCTGTTTTGGAAAGGGTAAGCTCTGTATTGTTCTACAGCAACTCAGTTTACATTGAAAGTAGGTTTTGATCCATCTAACTAGACTAGCTGGTGCTCATTTTTTGGGCACTTATTCATCCTTATTAGTAAGGCTTGAAAGATGAACTGATTATCAAGCGATCCACATCTCATATCCATGCCAAATATCTTGGCAAAGTATGTGAAAAGGAGACCAGTTTCCTAATGTAGGAACTTTGCCTTTCTCTGTCACATTGAAGAGCTGGTAAGCTGTGTAGGTGATATTTCCTCCCCTCAAAATGCCTTTCTTAGCCTTATGTGTATTAAAAGAGATAATACCTTATGAGGAACACGTGTCAAGCAGGAACCTTGGCACAGACATGGTTTCAGTGGTTTTAAGGCTTGATCAATGAAATGCCTTGATCAGCTTTCCAAACATTTTTATATATGAATACACCAGACAAAGGAGCTGGATCTCCTGCTCTACTCACATGCCTGGAACCCATCTCCTAAAGCTATCATCAGTGACTTGTGCAAATGGCAGCAGTAAAGTGAAATCTGCACGTGAATTAGCCAGCAGAGCCTGACACATAACTAAGAAAGTTCCCGTCTAGCACCCCAGTAATTCAGCACCTTAAGCACCAATCAGTTTCAATCCGTCAACAATAAAGTGAATATTCCAACTAGACCTCTTGTCTTGCTTGTTTTTACTATTTAGTTTTTGGTAACCAGTAGAAAATTCAGTCATTGTGAGCATTAATGCTGGTGAACTTCAAACACAATGCATTCTGCTTTTCAAAAAAATCTGATTTCTTTTCTCTCTCTCTCTCTCCTTACCTCCCTGCAGTTCTGGAGATGAACCCAGAGCCTGGCATGCATGGGAGGCAAGCACTGTACCTTGCCACCCTTTTGTTTGTGTTGTTTTGAGACAAGGACTTGATTGTAGACCAGGCTAGCCTTAAACTTGCAATAATTCTCTTGCCTCTTTGTATCTAGAGTTCCGCATTTCAGGTGTGTGCCACTGTACACAGTCTGATTTCTTCTTCTTCTTCTTTTTTTAACATTGCCCTGAAGATGTAACTCAATTGGTAGTGTTCACGGGGCCCAGGGCTTATCATCAGCACCACAAAAAGCAGATATGGTCGTGCTACCTGCAGTCCCAGCAGAGGCCAATACAGAAGAACCAGAACTTCAAGGTTATTCTAGGCTATGTAATGAGTTTGAGGTCAGTCTAGGATATTTGAGATCAAGACAAAACAAAAAAAAAACCCAAAAGCTGTTCAGACCTTTAAAAATTATTTTAATAATGATTAAAAATTTAAATGTTCCTAAGAATGAGGACACGCCTTATCCATATTTTACAGAATCCTGGGTTTCAGAACAGGGTGAATAACCAGTCAATGCAGACTCGACAGGAGGTCATTCCTTTAGTGTAAGATTAAGTTGAGGCTGAGGATGCTCTCAGTGGAGAGCACAAGGCCCTGGATTTAAACCTCAGCACACACAAAAAAAGTCAGTAAGACAGGATTTTCAATACCGCAGCAATACCAGGTTGATGACAATTCCAGGGGAGTTCTATGGCATATCAAACCTAATTTGAATAATATTTTTTCTTGCTTGTCATTTTGGTGGTCTAAATGAACTATAGATCATTAGTGCCCCAAAGTTCATAAAGCTGTTTGGCTTGACCCCAAGTCTTTCATGGTCCCAAGTTCATGTTAAATTTTATCATCATTCCTAGATTGTAGAATTTCCTCAAGAGAAAGCGACCAAATTTATACTTTTTTTTTCAACTAAATATATATGTTAACTATTAGTTAATTACTTGTGAGTTTCGAAAAGGAAAAGGTGCAGTCTGCGTAGAGGTTACTATTTAGTTTCTCTTAAGCTTAAATATATTTTACTTGTATCAGTGATCTATAATGCATAGTTTTCATTATTTTGATATGCAGTTATACAAAATACAAAAATAGATAAACAATAGATTTTTAAAAGAATTATCTCCTGCTGAGATACTGAATTGGCTTTTATCCTTTGAGATAGGACTTGCAAAAGGTCTATATAGTTATATCCTTAATGTCCAATAAGAGAGGAAAAGGTGCTAAATCAATAATTCACCTTAAGGCTGCAGAGATGGCTCAGCAGTTAAGACCATGGACCACTCTTGCAGAGGACTTGAGTTCAGCTCCCAGCAACCACATTGGTGGCTTACAATTGCCTATAACTCCGTTGTGAAGGAAACCCTACACTTTCTAACCTCCTTGGACACTTGGACATGCATGCACAGATGTATACATAAATAAAAATGTATCTGTTTTAAAATGCATTGACTTTTTAAAGTTTAGTTGGGTCATAGGCACTGATGCATGTGTTCATGAAATAACAGTCTATTGCTATGGTTAAGAGCAAAACATCTGGGCTAGTGAGATAACTCAGCAGATAAAGCACCATGCAACCCTGATGACCTTTAAATTGACCCCCAGAACTCATGTATCCATAGAGGGAGAGAACTACTCCATGAAGTTGTCCTCTGACCTTCACACATGCTCCCCTATATACATTATACACACACAGAATAAATTTACTTCAGAGCTGGACACAGTGGGCTGTGTTTGTAATCCCAGCACTCAGAGGTTTAGGCAGGAGTTATAGGCTAGCCTGGGCTCAAAGCAAGAGCCCTTTTTCAGAGAAAAAAACATTTAGAATCTCTCTCCTCCAGGTTAGTTATTTATTATAAAATTCTAAGACTGTCCTAAGCCTAGAAAAATACCAGTGGGTAACCTCATGCTTTCAGAGACATTATACCACTTAACCTTCACCATAAGCAGTTATCCAAAGGGCTTTTTTCTTTTCTTTTCTTTTTTTTACATAGGGTCCTGCTAGATATCTCTGACTTACTGGGAACTCACTCCACAGTGCAGGCTGGCCTCCAATTGGTAACAGGCTTGCTGATTCGTTTTTGTGACTAGTAACATTACAGGGTTGAGCCACCATGCCTGACTAACCCCATGGTTTTACACGTGACCGAACGAACAGGTTCATCTTTGTATGAGGTTAAAACAGAGAAACTTATCCCAATTATTTAAAATGTATACATTTCAATAGAGTTAATTTGTTCACATTGTTGGTTGTGAGTAGATTTTCAAAAAAATTGGCAGTAGTTCAAGAATGAAATGTCTAAGCCTGGGGCCGGAGAGATGGCTCAGAAGTTAAGAGCACCAATTGCTCTTCCAGAGGTCCTGAGTTCAAATCTAAGCACTCACATAGTGGCTCACAAGCATCTGTAACTCCAGTTCTTTAGGATCTTATACCCTTTTCTGGCCTCTCACACACATGATTTACAAGCATACATGCAGATAAGACCTCCATACATATAAATAAAAATTTTAAAAATGTCTGACCACAGTCAAATAAAATTTTGTAAATTTAAGTATTATAATAGTCAAACATCCCATGCCGAGATTACTATAAGGAACTCTATTATATGAATGTGGCAATTAGCTGAAATTAGTTTTCTTTTTCCTGTACTGTTTTCATTAAGCATATTTAACTTTTTCAAAAGATACATGTATAGGTGTTTCCCTACAGTGTCTGTGGAGGCATCGGGTCCTCTGGAACTGGAGTTGTAGATATTTGTGAGCCACCACGTGGGTGCTGGGAACTGAACCCCAGGACTCTTACAGAGCAGGTAGCAAGCACTCTTAACCACTGAGCCATTGTTCCAGTTCCAAGCATCTTGACCTGTATTCTGACAGACTTACAGTCTTGCATTGGAAGAATAGATCTGATCCAAAGAGCAAGAAGAAAGTAACAGATTCCAGACTTCTGACACCAGCCTGATTTGCAAGATCCTTGCAGATACAGTTTAGACAGAACTAGTGAACTTACACCGGTAAGAACTGAAGAAAAGCTATGCAGAAAGTGAACATTCGCTTCCCACGGTGTCAGACAAAAGCATTGAGTATTGCCGTATAAGATCTCCTAATGCACGCCTTTAATCCCAGCACTCGGGAGGCAGAGGCAGGCGGATCTCGTGAGTTCGAGGCCAGCCTGGTCTACAGAGCGAGCTCCAGGACAGCCTCCAAAATAATACAGAGAAACTCTGTCTCGAAAAACAAAAAAGATCTCCTAACGTTGTCTTTGTGCCATTTATAAACATGGAAAAATAGAAATCTGTTTGAACTTGTATTTGTGCCCTATTGCTTCTAGAATCTGCTTAGATATGTTTGAGTGGCCCGATTTATATATATGCTGTAGGGAAAGGTAAGGACTTAACTGGTTGAGTTGCATGCAGTTAGGCGGTGGCTCGCTAGAGGGAGTAAAGGAGCGAGACACAGGAAGAGAGCGGGAGAAGACTTAGGTAAGTTTGCGGAGTGCGTGCACCAGGAGGAGGAGGGGCAGCTTGCGTGTAGCTGCTCCACCCTCACTTTGTCAGCAGGTAGAGAGCGTGATTGCACTCCCAGGGGAGGGAGTCAGAGCTAGAACACCAATTACCAACCACAGGCTTCCTGGTGTAGGGAGCTGATCCAGAATTGTCGTTCTGGAAAGGAAGCGCTGAATCCTTCCTTCTTCTCAACTTCCCAAGCCCATCCATGATTCAGAGATACCGCCTTCTCTGGGATTTGTGTGTGTGTGTGTGTGTGTGTGTGTGTGTGTGTGTTTCTGGTAGTGAATTGTTGTATTTACTACTTTGTTGTCTTTCAAGAGCTGATTTAATATTCTGTGCAGAGGCGGCGGGGGGAAAGGACTTTTGCTAGATTTCAGAGATTATTTTGGATCTTCTGTAAGCATTTCCAGAGTTCTTGAGGACAGTGGCTCTCTTCCTGGAATGAGTTTCTGCCTTTGACCTGCGTGGATTGCTTTGTCGGGCTTCGGAATTTCTGCGTACCTACCTGTAGTGCGGACACTTGGTCTGATTGCCGAGTGAGAAGGTGAAGAGTGAGCCGCTCTGGGTTAAGCGGCTCAGATCTTTTTTTAAAGCAGGATTTATAAAAGCATAATTGAATTTGTTTCACCCCCCCGTGGATTCCAGTGGGCCCGACAGCACAACAGGTTTGCAGATTTCTTTTGAAATTCTTTTTTGTTTTCTCCCTCCCTCTGTTTCAGCAAAGTAAGGAATCTATAGCAGGCTCGTGCTCAGTTGCTGGGCTTTTCAGCACTTCTGAAGACTTGGTAGGATTTTTAAATGTGGCCTCAGAAGGCAGTAGGCTTTGTGAGTAAAGTGCATTTATAGTTCCTTAATAGTGCACATTTTAAAAATCTGATGTTTATACAAGAATCTGAAGTTTCACAGGAGCCTAGAAAAACCCCAATCTCCTCTACTCTGTTGATTCCCCCTTCAGTTTAGAGCCTATGACTGGCCACCCCCCCTCTGTGTTTTATTCCCCATCCCCACCCCCTCAAGGAATTTGAAAACGTGTTAGAAATAGTTCTTTGTTTTTCTTCTGAATCTGGAAGATTACAGATTCTAAGGTCTTGATATTAGTCTCCTCGGCATGTTAAGGAAAGTCAAAGTGCTTGATATTCTCAGACTGGAGAATAAAATCTCGAATCCATACGCAAGAAAGGAAACAGAAATATGAATTTTAACTGGGAAAATACCTGGAAAGCTAACCTCATCGAGGATCTCAATATGGAAGTTGGGAGAGATTTTGGTATTCAGGTTTATTCTGTTGTATGTCAAAGATATATGGATCTGTGCCTAATTTTACAGGCACTTTTGGTGGAACACAAAAAAATATAATACACTGAAGATCTTAAAAAGTATATAAATTCAGTAGGCCTAGCACTCTGGGCTATGCTGAAACTCAATCTAGCATGGACGTTTTAATGAATTCCTGCTGTAGCAACCTTATGCATCCCTCCAGGTGTGGCCTGATTAATTTCCACTCTTCTCCTATTAAAAAGGAACCCTGTCACAGCCTTTAGTCTCTAAGATTGACAGTTTCTGGCTGTAAGGGGCCATCGCTCATCTTCTGGGCTGGAGTCTTCACTGTCAGCTGCGGTCGGTGCACTGCCCTTGGCTTTTGTTCATCAACACTGGGTTTAGTGCCTCGGAAATCTGATACATATGGGAGACCAACAGCAAGTGATCGGACACAAAACCAATTCGTGTTGGATCTAAAGCACATTTGGAAATCTCAACGGGCAGTGGTGGTGTTTCTGTGTCCACAGTGACGATGGGAGAAAATGACATACCTGCCCCAGAAGTGGGCTGAAAAAATCCCTCTCCTCCTCCCTATCTGGAATGTCACCGGTGCTTGGGAAGACTCTGTAGAGAATTGTGACCTGGCTTTCTGAAACTGAAGCACAGCCTCTTTCCCCTCCATTCTCTGGATCTGAGAACCTGCGTCTGGGATTAGCTAGTGGAAGCAGTATGCATGGCCGAAGAGCACGGATGCAGCTGGTAGCATGAGTGCTGGCCAGCAGCTGCAGCTGGCTGCCCTCTGGCCCTGGCTGCTGATGGCTACGCTGCACGCAGGCTTTGGACGCACAGGCCTGGTGCTGGCAGCAGCGGTGGAGTCTGAAAGATCAGCAGAGCAGAAAGCTATTATCAGAGTGATCCCCTTGAAAGTGGACCCCACGGGAAAACTGAACCTCACTCTGGAAGGTGTGTTTGCCGGTGTTGCAGAAGTAACTCCAGCAGAAGGGAAATTAATGCAGGCAAGTACTACTTCATTCTGTTCCTTTCCATCTGTTTGAAATGTGCCTTTTTTCTTTTGTCTGACAAACCAGAGCCCATGCAAGGGTTAGCTTTGCTTCATCTTACTGCTTAGCTTTGCATCCCTTCATTCTTGTGAGGGTATTGCTTTATGGGCAGTCTAAAGCAAATTTTTATTTTATTCTTGAAGCAATATATAAATTCTGTATTTTAGGGGGTAATTTGATTATTTTAACTGGTATTGCATAACCTTTTGGGGTATACATAGTAAAACTTTTCTTTACAAATATGTATTTGGGGCACTACTTTTGATAGGTCAAAGTTACAAGTGTATATTTAATTGACTTTGGAAATCTAGCTTACATCTTGTTAAAATGTAAATATTAATTTTAATGGTCACGAACACCCTGAAATTCTAGACTGTCCTTGGAGCACATTTGATTACAGTGTCACTTTTAAAACTCAGTCAAGCTTGGATGCTCTGACTGGCTTTCTACCCCGTGTGGCACCCTAACCCTAACCTCCAAATGGAGAGGACTAGGTTACAAAATGGACCCAAAAGCCTGAACCTGTCCCTGCACCTTCTGGTCCAGTTTTAAAATGTGCAGTTCAAAACTAAAGGTTTATTTGATATATATTTTCTGAACTCACAGTTTTTCCTGACACAATTTCTTAGACTTTCGGACTGTAGCAGACTATGATTTATGTGTTAGATTTATTAACTTACTGGGGCCAGCCTTCTTTAGACAAATTGCTCATTCCTATGGTGAAGACAGAGCTTGCTGAGCTGTGCCCTTTTAATGGGCAATCTACTATCTTACTTCATAGAAAGATGTCGCTTGTTTACTAAAATTTTTCTTGTAAAATGACACTTCTTGCTGAAGTCATTGGAAGCAGGTTTATACAAGCAATCTCAGCATATAATGTCGGATTTTTATTTTGTGATATGCGTAGACTGTGGTTCATAGCTATATGAATTAAAACAGAAGAAGGTAAGAATACAAAATAAATTACAGAGTTATTTTTCAAACATTAGTACTTTAACTGGGTGCTCAGGAGACAGAGGCAAGTGGATCTCTTTGAGTGTCAGGCCAACCTGGCCTATATAACAAATCCAGGACATCCAGCAGACATAAAGAGACCATGTATCCGAGCGAGAGAGAGGGGGAGGGGAGGGAGGGAGGGAAGGAGGGAGGGAGGGAGGGAGAGAGAGAGAGAGAGAGAGAGAGAGAGAGAGAGAGAGAGAGAGAGAGAGAGAGAGAGAGAGAGAGAGAGACAATGTTTACATAAAGTTTAGCAGTTACGTTGTACTACTTTGCCGGTATTTTGAAACTGAAATAAATGAAGAGGATAAAGAATTGAAGTAAAATGTTAGAAAGGCAAACTGCAAAATTGCCATAAGATTTGACACGTATGAGGGGTTATCATCTAAATTAGGCTCCAGGATGGGATTAGGAGTCTTAAAAGCTGGGAATAGAGCAGTGTAGGAGGGAATGTACCCCCCTGGCCTTGCCTTCCTGAGGTGCCTGCTGCATTGTGAATTGTAGCATAGACAGTTTTAGCATTCAGCCATGTGTTTGTGTCTCTGAAGTCTTCAGGAGCCACACTCAGATCTGTGGTAGCATGCTCAGCAGCTTAATGGTCTGCTCTGAGAGACAGCGTCTTCTGTCAGTCCTCATTGCTTGTTTTCTGTTACGGTAAAACTCTTGCCTAAAGCTTCTGTGTTTTCACAAAGGAAAAGGTAGCTGGAAGCGTGCCTTTGCCACCCGTTGTTTTGTCAGTTTTTATTGTATCTTCTCTTCGTCTGCCTTAAAGAAAGCTATTTACCTTCAGGTTTCCCTAAGCATCTTCACTCTGTGAACAGGATTGTTGTTATATCCTTGTAAGAACTTTCAAATTTCTCCATGCACAGCTTTACCTCATTGACGATTTTTCTGTCCATCTGCTCTTCTTTTAGGTTTTTAAATAACCTTTATGGTGGTTCAGTATTAATCACTGAGTATGTCAGTTTGGGGCCTGGTGTATTCTCTGTGAATCAATTTTTTAGTCCGTAGCAGTTAACTAAAATTTTTTTTTCGAGACAGGTTTTCCCTGTATTGTTATGGAGGCTGTCCTGGAACTCGCTCTGTAAACCAGGCTGGCCTCGAACTCACAGAGATCCGCCTGCCTCTGCCTCCCAAGTGCTGGGATTAAAGGCGTGTGCCACCAACGCCCAGCCAACTAAATTTTCTTAATCACTCCTGAAGACAAAACTATTTTTAATAAACCTTTTAAGAGACATATCCTTATACATTATTTTATTGAGCTCTGGTGGTAGGGACACTTGGTTTGTGTGTCTAGAATCCATGCTGTTTGCTCCTTATCAGATTCCACTGCAACTCAATTAACTCATGGAACTGGTTGATCAAGCCTTCCCTTGGAAGTTCTGTCTCTGGTCCTCCATGTGCATGGTAGCTGTGTTGATAGATGTTGTGTCCCCATAACACAGATGGATCATTTCTTGTGACCTTCTGCCTATGAAGTGTTCCTATTAATCTCTAAAGATTCAATTGGGTCTTTGTAAAAGTGCAGTACTATACATAGGAAAATTTATATAAAACAGTGGCTTTAAAAAAGAATAACCTTATCACTTTGAACATTAGACATTTCTTTCCATTTTCCCAGATTAATCCAGGATGCATACACTTTCATGAAAACCAAATTAATTGGATTTCATTGCTTTGCTTTCTATTGCATGGTATTTATTGGATTTCATTGTATTGCATTTTAAATTTGCTTAGACAAAGGGAGCCATCCCATAGCAATGTAGCCCCTTTTGTTTAATAATAATATAGTCCATGCAACTGCCTTTAAAATAATTTTCTTTTTCTTGGCTTTTTCTGATGGTTATAATTCTCATACGTAAGCATTTGGAAGCCAAGCAGTGATGAATTTTTGTCTAGATTCTTATTCCTCACTCTTTATGTTATGATTTTTCCTTTTTAGCAGTAGTCTGGGTCTGTTTCTGTCTGTCTGTCTGTCTCTCTCTCTCTCTGTGGTGTGTGTGTGTGTGTGTGTGTGTGTGTATGTAGTGTGTTGGACCCAGGGCCTTCCGCACGCTAGGTAGATGTTCTGCCATTGACTGATGCTCTTCTTCAAGTCCTGGAAGGATGTTGAAAGAGGAGTTGTCTTTGCTGCTTTGCCTTCTATCTCTCTTCTTCTCTTTTTCTGAAATTTCTCATCTTAGTCCTGAACAATTACATTTCTACTTTGCCCTGGAGTCTTTTCTTTGAGTTGTTGTACCCTCCTAACCCTCCTGATGTTAGCCACCCTCTTTGAAGTGTCCAACTCTCAGGTTCCCTTTGTGTTTGCCAAGCCTTCCTTCCTTCCTTCCTTCCTTCCTTCCTTCCTTCCTTCCTTCCGTCCTCCCTTCCTTCCTTCTTTCCTTCCTCCCTTCCTTCCTTCCTTCCTTCCTTCCTTCCTCCCTCCCTCCCTCTTCTTCTTCTTCATTCCTTTCTGCCTTTCTCCCTCTGTCTTCCATTCAGTTTGTCTACTTAGGGTAACTTACCACTGCTACCTGAAAAGTCGTTGTATTTAACTAGCCATCAAAAACAAAACAAAACACAGTCCAAGGAGACTTTTGAGCCCTCCTAATATTTGATGGTGATTTATAAAGAATACTATTACATGATGGTGATTACAACCTATATAGATACTTTCATTTGAACATATTCTTTGTTTCCTGGGTCCACCATTGCTGATGGAAAATATCCTAGAACTGAGCACTGTCTGATTTCCAGTTTTCTGTCTTACTTATAATTAATTAATGTTTGTGTCTGTTGTTATTATCTAGTGATGTTCTTGTTGCCACGTTTATACACAACTGTAGTCATATTTTCATATTTTCTATTACGTATTTGGCGCAACAAGTCATCTCTAAGCAAAAGAATATGAGGATCTTAGTGTAGCACTAGAGAGGTCACCAACTCTTTGGCTGTCGCATTTTTCCTGTTCAGCTGGTTGTCCTGGATTTTCTTAGTCTCCAGGATAAAGTTATGATCAAGATTAGAACGTGTTGCCCGGAGGCAGCAGACCTGCAATGGGCGCCGAGCCTGGGGTGGTTTCACATTTGGCCCCAAACAGGGAGCACCTCCAGGACAAATTCCCTGTGCCAGTGTCTCTACTTGCCTTCTCGTTTTACCTACCTGTCAGCACGCGCCTGCCCCCTTTTGCATTTTCACTTTATTTGTATTGAACACCTGAAACTTTCTGATTGAAATTTTGGGCCAGTGTCAGAGAGACAGTCCTCTGTTGCAAGCTGTGAACCTAACTGACCCCACAGAGTTGTGGGATTGGAACAAAATAGCTTTTACCTTGGTGAGGGTCAGATTCTTTGCCAGTGACGTTGAGGGATTTGAATATAATAGCTACCAAATGGATACTGTGCATTTTGCAAGTATTAGCTCATTGAATTATCACGATAACTTTATGAGAGAAAGTGTTCTATACATATTTTCTCACTTCTTACAGACAAGGAAACTGAGGACTTAATATCTCTAAGGTAATAAATAACTAGTGAATAATTGGCATAGCTGGAACTTGAACTGTAGAGCTGTGGTTGATCAGCTCTGAAATCCTATACATGCCAAAGGTGGATACACTCCAGAGTGCCACTGTTAGAGGCTGAGCCTGGACACACAATATTCTACTACCTAATAATAATTTCTGTATTTCTATTTTTTCTCATTTTGAGTTTGATTTGCAGAAAAGTGAGTCAATCAGAGTGTTTATCTAGTATCTGCATTACATTACCTTTCTGCTTTTTTTAAAATATGACTACTAACACAGGAATGCAAATAATAAATTTTGAAATAGCATTCATTTAATTGATGTTGCTTAAATGAGTTCCTTGGATACAGATTTCAGAGTAGATTTTACGATTTTTTTTTTGCTTTGCTGCCAGCCTTAAAAGAACTACAGAGTAAATATTCAAGGTACAGTCAACTCTCAGTTATTCATGTTA